ACATAACTTAAATGTTCTAATTTTCTAAATTGCAGATTTTATTGTGTGGGACCTACAAGAAATTTGGGATATTTAATTTATTTATGCATGTAAAAATGTGTCCGCAACACACAGAAATGTCTTTGTCACTCTGTGAAGTGGGTTAAGATCTTCAATACAACTCAAACTCCATCATTTTGTACATATTTCCAATGAAACCACACAAGTTTTCTGAATTTGGTAACTATATCATCTTTAATTCATCATTAGAAACCAGTAAAATTACAGGAGGTTTATGTTTTTAAACTGTTAAAAACACAAGATCGAGACTTGAGACTTCCAAGGCCCAAAAGGTGAATTAGGAATCAGTATTACAGCTGCTGCAGTTGTTTGTTTTTCTGAGGCTTGAACTTGTGTTGTTTTTACCTTGATGTGAAACTCGAGGTTCTCGTCCATGGAGTAGATGTGGTCAAAGATGTCGTGGGAGATGCGAGGGATGATTCCCATCAGCTGGGGGTCGTGCAGTTTGCCCTGAACACAGCAACGGATATTGATGTTTTAATGCTTTCCAATGTTTGCTGAACTTTGAAAGCTGCTCGAGGGGAGTTTTCAGAGCAAAATCAGGGCTCAAAGGTGGAATTAAAACTTCATATAAAGAGTTCTTTTCATCAGACACTCACAGATCACATCAGAGAATTAAAAAGAGGCTTTAGGTTGCTGTCTTGCTTGGATTAGTGAAGCAATGATGCCAAATCCTGATCTCCTTTGAGTGCTGTTGCAGAGTCCGCCTGTGCCAAGAATTATTTTTCCACTCGAAATGTACAACAAAAACAGTCTTTGAACGCATCAGTGTTTGCAGAAGTTTAACCTTCCTGGTACAAGACGCTGTCTGCTATCTCGCTTTTTTTTGACTCCTTGAATCTCAGCCGGCGTACGAGCAGGACTGGGTTTAGAGTTTGTGGTAAGTCTGTTACACAATGCCTGCTGAGCTCTAATCCTCTGATTGGAGCTCAAAGTAAAGGTCACTTGCAGCCTTTAGATAGTGACTGTGGGATTTATTGATTGGTGGATGAGAGTCAAAAGTCAGCGGTAGAATGGACTGAATGAGTCTCTCACCTCCATGGTGTGCGTCTTCCCAGAGGACGTCTGTCCGTAAGCGAAGATGGTCCCGTTGTAACCGCCCAGCACATCTGGAACATCACGAAAAATACAATTATTTGTAAAAGCAAATATCTAATGTGTATAAATAACTCCTATAAATGCTATTGCTATTAATATCACAGTATTTATTTCCCCCTATAAGTATTAATGTTGCTTCCAATACAATTATTGCTTTTATTATCAGAGCCAATACTGCTATCACAGAACAAGTCCTCAAATAAAGTCCAAGTCAAGTATCAAATCCTCAAACCAAGTCCTCAAGTCTTCAAATCAGGTCCAAGTCAAAGATTGTTACATAGCTGGCACCGAGTCATCTCAATGCAGAGGCCTGATGATAAAATATTCCGTCTGTTTATTACATTTTCTGAGATTTTCCCAGGGCAGGGCGACGCTGACACTAATGTTTCTGCTTTAGAATTCAGGTGCAGAGAGTTGGGTCTGAAGTGAGTCAAGTTTCAGAGCAGTCAAACATTAATGTCACTAAACAGATTCAGGCACTTTATTTAGCAGTTATTTGTCCCTGATATGCAACTGAATTTGATCATGTAACAATATCATCATTAGTAAAAATCAATATTTCCATTTTCAGCTTTTATTTATTTCTTAGCTGTGAAGGACCTGGGGATGTAAACATTTCAGCTTCACAAGCAACACAAACTATTAGTCTTTGAAAGCAGCATTTTCAGAATAAAGTCTCCTCAAAACATCGTAAGTACTTCAGGATTTGTCAGGTTTTCTCTGTAAGCAGACGTGTTGCTTACTACATTATTACATTATTAATTGCAAACACTACAGATACAGAACCTGAGGCAATCCCCCTGTCAAAGTTATGTTTCCTACTGAAACTGAGACAGCTTAATTTAGGATCCTACCTGTACCTCATCAAACGTCTGTGTCTCCCAGGATATCTCTAATCTACAGCTCTGACTTCTACCATCACTACTACTGCTATTTCTAATCTAAAATCTGTTAAATAACCAACATCAAGCAGCTCAAACGACACAGACGACAGCAGCAGTGATGTTTCTCTTCTCTGGAGGACAGATGAAGTGTGTGTGTGTGTGCAGTGCATACAGATACACAACAGACCACGGTTACAGAACGACATTCGTACCTTTCACTATCTGTTTGGCACACTGGTCGTACACTTGCTCCTGTGACGTGTTGGGAGGCAGCACGCGGTCGAACGCGTAGGGTTTATTCTGTTTCAAACCAACACAGGACACATTAGAGACTGCAGTACATCACATACAAAGCATACAAATAAAGGACCCGCATCCTGAAACAAAGCAGGATGGGGCGAACCTTTGCACCACTTTGAGAAAACATCACATTATTTCTCCACTTGTGCAAATGTGGAAGAGAAATAATGATTATTCCTGGTGTTTTGACTTGAATACGACTTAAGGACTCGTTAAAGTGCAGGACATCAATGTGACAAAAGCAAACGTGTTTTGGAAAAAGTTTCTTTCTGTATTGATTCATTAAAAGCAGTTCTGTCGATGTTTATCAAGAGAAAAATAATGAAACAAGCTGCCAGGATTATCTAAAAATCAATCAATCAATTAAAAGATGGTAGATTGGATGCATTTGTTTGGTGTATATCTACTCTGTTTTATTCTAATTCAACAAAGTATATGAATTAAAGCTGCATGTGTCATGTTCTACATTTGTTTAAACAAATCCTGCATGCAGGATCTGAAACTTTCTCATGTTCAGACAATATAAGATGCTTGTTTCTATCTCTACGGTGTTGTAAAATTGGACGTCCTGTCGCTGTGAATGCTCCAGTAGCTTCCAGGACCTTCGGGTGTGACCATCCATCACTCCTGCTGCCCTTGTCCAAACCACTGACTCTGTCTCTCAGGGGGTAAAAGCCTCATTGCTGTGAAAAGCCGCTCTCAGCACTTGGAGGCAGCAGCAGCAGCAGCAGCACTCTGGCTCTCTCTGAACTAGAGATAAAGCAGAGAAACCACTGACACGAACAGTATCGGAGTGCACGGACACAGTTGGGCGGCTCAGTAATCTGTTTCTGCAGTTTGATTGATGGCACGAGGCGGTGACGAGCAGTTTGTGTTTCTGGGCGATAATGCAGCTGAATGAATAATGCAGGAGGTGCAGGCCGCTGATGGTCAACTGTACAGAACATTATGCAGATTTTAGGTGCTGAGCCCGACCGAGGACTTCTATTTTTATGCCATGACTTTGCTTTTCTTGTTTTTTTCAGATGTAATTATTATGCTGGACTAGAATGAAGCATTACTCCCTGTATATAAAGACTTTTTCGGACTGCTTTCTCCATATTTTGGAGAAACTGTGTCACCCACAGTGTTAAGCTATCCGGGTTAGCTCCACCCACCTGAAATTCCACAGTGTAGAAAACAAACACAAGGCCTAAAAGATGCTCTAAAGCAAGTGGCCTCATATCTGTGTGGTTAAACACAGTATTGACGCTGCTGAATCAGCACATTTCATAATGGTGAGTCAGTGTAAGTGTAACCTCTGACCCCTGACCTCCTGTTTTAATATATTTTCTCTTTTTCTCCCGCACACACGTTTATGACGGTGTTAAAGTTTAATTTTAAGGTTTTTTTTTACTAAATGTTTATATCATCATCACAGGAAACGCATCACAGCTGAGCTGGCTCCTGATTGGCTCGTAAAGAACGACTTAAATCTGAAATAAACGTCCTTTTTTAATCCTTTGTGCTGTTTATCTCCCTATAATATGATGGTATTTAATACAAAGTATATTCTAGACTCGTGTGTTTCTATAATATATGTAAACACATACCAATCTCCATGTTATTGTTTGTCTCTGGACAGTTTTATATGATTATTATTATTAATCTATTATAAATAATGCATTACTAGTAGCAGCCTGTCCTGCAGCAGCTACATTAAGCAGAGTTTGTGTTATATTCTGTTTTTATTTGTTTAACTTTACCACTGACTGCCTGTAGTTTCATCCTTTATATCAGCTGTGTGGAGCTTTATGTGCCATCGGATGTTCTGTACAGGCTCACTGCGCACTTGGCACCAGAGCCTGCCTGCAGAGCTTCAGGTGACTTTCTTCCTCTAAACACTGCAGTGTTTGTGTTCTCAGCTCCACACAGACATCATCAACAACAACAACAACAACAAGGAGAGGACAGACTTGCCGTTATGACCACGGTGTCGTCGTCTTTGAATTTGGGGATGTATTTGTCTCCTCGGTTGATTTCGGCCTCGTTCAGCGGCCTGAAGCGACACATCACTCTCACCCCGCACTCCGACGCATCCATCATGTCTGCTGCTGGCACTGTTCACCAAACACTGCGGGGAAGGAGCGCACAGCAGGCCGGGAGACAGCCGATGGAGCGGTCTATTGTAAGCAAGGGTGGTGCCCAAAGTGAGGTTCGGGGATCACCAGCGCGGCCTTGATGAGCGTCCCTGCGTCCCGGGCCGAGTGAGAGTTCAGGATGGACTAAAACAGAGACTCAAACCATTATTGGCAACCAAACCGGTTCCCGGGGGGGTGAGGCGTCGGGGTTTCCGCGTTTTATCCACGCAGGAAAGTTTAGGGACGTCCGATGCGCAACGCGTCCTTCATCCGAGCCGAATATCTCCGGGACTCTTCGGCTGCGCCTTCGGCTGCGCCATGGCCAAACCGGATCAACCGCAGCGCTGCGTGCCGGTGCGGAGCTCAGACGTCGGTGTGCGGGGGTGGGAGTGGGGTTGGGGGGGGGCACCGACAGTCGAGCACACGGTTGGACCGATGTGTGTGTTCCTCAGCGGCGGGGGGAGACTCGGAGGGTGCTGCCCGGTGTGCGGAGAGAGAGAGCCCGGAGAGGATGCGCAGAGACAAACCGCATCGTCCTGACTTGCAAGAAATGCGCGCTCCCGGCACGATGCTGCGGCGCGCGCCCGTGCCCTGCATCAGCACCATCGCTGAGCTGCTGCTCGCGTGCACGCGCACAGAAACCCCTGCATTCATTACTGATGAATCCTCCTTCTGATAAACTGCTTAATACTCCTGTTTCACACGATCAATACAACATAAACTGACAAATAATAATGTTTTATTATAGATTCATAATTATACACTCAATATAAAACTACATTATTCCAAATAACTGACATTAAGATGACTTTTATTGTGAAAAGTAAAAGAATATTCACTGGTTCAACACTACTTTGGTGTATAGCAGCTTTTTAAGGCGAGGTATCAGGTACAAACAGCAATGAGCGGTTGAATTAGTTGATTAGGATGATATAATTTCTTATTATAACAACTGCATTCATAAATAACTCGTTTTAAACTGTCAAAAAGCTGCTTGTGTCCTGTTTAATGGCTCACACACACACACACACACACACACAGAGTCAGGAGTGTGTGCCTGTTCTCACACGACCTTCATCAGCAGAGTGAAACATTCATTTTGGACAAAGTGTATCTTTTTATTGGATTTAAAATATACATTTCTATTATTTTATTTTATAGGAAATTCAGGCTTTTGTTTCCAGCATCAGAGAGAGTCTGAGCTTATTTAAGTTTTATGAAAAACTTCACAATTCAGAATCTACAGTGAATAATATCTGTATCACCTTTCCAAACATTATGTCGTCCTTTTATTCTCTCCATTCCCAGGTTGAGGATGCTGTGTGCTCTCCTATCTGCCCACTAGAGGTCAGTGTGCAACAAGAAACAGACTTTAAGACGTTCACGTCTTTAACTCAGATTTATAACTCAAATAAACCAACTTTTTAAAATGTAGAATAAATACTAAAGTGAGAAACACGAGGAGGAAACAAGAACGAGGGAGCATAAACACACGTTACACAGGGAGTTATTCAAGTAAGAGTGACCATGTTTTTAATATCTTAAACATCTGTGCAACATTGCCCAAAATGTTACATCACTGCATGACCTGTAATGTTTCACAATATTTACAAAAAAAAAATGCTGCTTACATCAAACCATTAAAAAAAGTCCAAACAATCTCAAAATAATGGACTCTGACAAACTATCCCTAACCCACATTAATGCGAAAAGAAAAAAAGAAACGAGAAATCAAGTGCACATCATACTTCACGCAAGTCTATTTTTTGTCAAGTATATATTAGTGAGAAAATATATACTTAATTACAAGTTGAAAAAATAAAATACTGACAACTAAAAAGGGTGGAAGAGGAAAAGAGGGAAATTAGATTCAGAAAGCAGAAACAATCACACTCACCTCAAAAACTCACACACACACAGGCACACAATCACAGGCGGGAGGAGGAGAAAATAGACTGCACAGATCACCTCAAACACAAAAATGCTTTGAACTCTTGACCACAAATAACATGAAACTGATAGAACAGATTCATAACACATGGGTTCCCAACCTGAGACCGGGTTCCTGCATGTCATTGCACAAAAAAAACGAGGGGGCGTTTTGGGAGGAAGAGGCAGAATGAACTTTACCAAAAAATAATTAAAATAAAAAAAGAGCTCGTGTTTTCTCGACGCCGAACGTTTCGGAGGTTTTTAAAAAAGTGTGCGCTGAAAAAAGGCGGGAACATTTTCTTCAACATTTTCTTCAACATTTGCCCGAACTCGAAATCTTTTGGAAATGTGGTTGGATGTGGAAGGACGCTCCTATAAAGTCTCATATTCACCTTTAAATACTGATATTGTTTGACGTTGCTACAAGTTTAGGGACTTTTTTTATTTTCAAAATGTCCTTGAGTTTTTTCAGTGAGCACACAGCAAAAGAAAACAGAAAAAGGTTTGAAATTAGTGAGAGATCTTCAGAAAATACAGTACAACTTCTTCAAAGTGTGCACACATCAACAAAATAAGATTTAATTGTTTACGTGGCTGTAGTTGGTAGTTTGAGGCCCCTCCTTTATGCATCAGGTACGTATCTACGGTAGTGTTTCCACGTTTTACTGAGTGACAAAGAAGATAATCTCTTTATAAAGTAGTGTATTGTCGGGTCTTTCTTGCTATAAAAGCAGAAAAGTTCAAGTCATTTGCGGCGTTTTTAGTAAAACTTTATTCGTTGAGGGTGAATTACAAATTAAAATTAAATTTGTAAAGAAGAAAAAAAAAGAGGTAAAGCTACAAATAAATTACTACTTCATGGCTCTTAGGTTCGGACATCTGAAAAAAAGATGAATATTGTTCCCAAAGAACTTCTTTTTGTGGTTTTTTTTTTTTGAGAACAGCCCGAGCTGTCGAAGGTGTGAACGCGAAGAAAAAGGTCTCAAACAATCGAGAGATGCAGCGCTGCTGAGCTGTTGATCCTTGCCATCAATTGGTATATTGCACTTGATAAATGTGGAGTTAATTCAGCTTGTTGTTGGTTTTGATTCGGAGGTGAAGCTAAGACTGATCAAGTGTTTGAAACTTCCACAGCTCGTGGCGTTAAAACTGCATTTATTCCCGACACAAACGCTTTCTGAAGATGTGCATATTCATAAATAGTGTGGTCCTGTAGGTTTCCTTTAACCAAGAAATCCACGACACAACGTGTAACAAAAATAAGTCGATCAGAAAGCCTCGCTGTAAAAAAGAGAAGTGTTATCTGCAATGCTCACTTTTTAAATAAAAGGGAACACGACCTTAATGAATACATGATCTATTCACGGTTAAAAAAAACATACATATACACATATAAGGCTTGAGTTCTCAACTCTTGGTAGTATTATTGCCATCTAGCATATTTGTAAAGCTTAAAATAAATATGGAGTACTGTACATAAATAATTTACATCAAAAAAAGGCAAAAACAAACAAACAAACAAAAAACAAACAAGGCCCCTAAATGAGAAATGCTTCCACCGCTCTTTAAAACCGAGTTAGTGTTCCTCTTGATAATCTAGACTGCGCCTCTGAGGTCGGTTACTCTACCTAAAGCTATAGTCCAAAACGTCTAACATCACTGTACAAAACGAGCACGAGAACATGATCACAACAGGCAGAGGACAGAACTCGTCAGTGCAGCCTATTCTGGTTGTAGTTGAAGGAGAAATCCACCCAAACACTCTTTGTACTGGTTTCTGTTGCATTGTGGGAGCCCGGCGTGGCGTTTAGTGTTTGTGAGAGAGGGGGCCGTGTTTTAAAAACATTTAATACTGACGTTGAACAGTAACAAAGAGGAGGAATCCTTAACGCAGCGGGAAGCCGTGAGCTTATTTTTGATCATATTACGCAAACTTCAAAGGGATCTGAAGGTTAAAAGAGTTCTTCTGCTGTCGTTTGACTGACGGTCGAAGTCTTTCTGGGAAATATTCACCCAAAACTGCAAATTATTACGACACAAAAGTGCCTGAAGGTGGATTTTTCTTTCAAAAACACGGCAGGAAAGCAACGACGGACACTGATTCTCCAAAATGTGGTGGTTTTGATGAAGATTACTCGTTACTTTCTGCTGGTAAAGTTCATTCTGGTCCCCCCGCCCCCTCCCCAATACAAATGAACACTGGTTTGAAGTTGACTTTCATAATGGAGAACTCATATACTCATGCATATTCCACTGCTGTTCCCTTACAAACAAAAACAGAAACAAAACAAACAGAAAAACAGCACGTCTTACAGTTCCTCATATAAAAGCTTTAGGCTGTATTCTTATTTAATCTATGCATGCGGCCGTATGCAACCGCATTTCTGAATAGAAACCAAGACATTGGTACACTTCTGCTTTGTTTTTGTACAATAAAAGATAAAATGTGCATTAGGTATGCTTGTACATGACATTGTACAATATTTACATACAATTCTTAATAGCATGAAATTTCAGGATTATCTATATACATATTGAAAATGTATCAGAAATATTTGGACTGTCTATTTTTCTTAAATATGTAAGGTAATGCTTGTAGCTTTTTTTTTTTTTGTTTGTTTTACTATCTTATACTAGAAAAAAATAGTTAATTCAGTGAGCTGTAGACAAATTGCAACTGTTTTTGACGTTTTTCTCCATTTTTTTTCCTTTTCGTTATTTTTTTCCTACAGTTAAAACTGTGTTGGTGAATCTCCAGCACCTTCTGTGGTCAGTCGTTAAGTCAAGTTGATGTACCACTGAAAGTCCACGTGTAGCACCTGTTAGAGAGCTCAGATCGCATCAAGGCGGAACGGACGAAGTCTCCGAAGGCTTTGAGGACGTTCTGCGGCCGACACATTCAATGTTATCTGGATATCTTCCTCCTCTTGGGCTTGGGGAGCTTCACCTGACGATCCCTCGACGGGATCTGACGGCAGACGGACAGAAGCGTTACGCCGACGGCTGACAGGCGGGTGGGTTAGTTAAAAGCGACACTGTGTGTGTGTGTGTAAATACTCACTGTGCCCGACATCTTATCCAGCTCGCTCATGGCCTCGTGGATAGCAGCTTCCAGGTGATTATTCAGTTTCCCCGGTCTGTTGGACGACATTTACGTGTCACATTGTTTGAGCTTTACTGTAAACGTTCAGCTGATCTTTAGAATAAACCTCTTGAGTTCATAGAAACAACAAGAAGGCGGGCGGGTTTACTTACTTCAGGCCTCTTTTGGCGGCTCGGTCAAGTGCCTCTAAGTCGTGCGTTAGTGTTTTTAGCTTCTCTGGTTCTACCTGATGGAGACAAAACAAAACAGAGTGCATTCAAGAGCAGAATTTCCCTCCAACCACCGACAGATGGTGAAGTTGTTGCACTGTACAGTCGTCGGCAGTAAGACGGTGTCAGTCCATCCGGTGGACAGGAACGCTCGCTTCTTTCCTTCGGAGGTTTCCAGCTGGGGAAAACTCGGTTACAGTCAAACAATTTATTCCTTCAACTTCACTTTCTGGCAGGAATAATCTGCTGGACTCTACAAAACCTTTAATACGGTTTTTACAGGGAACATTTCTGCTCTGAAATCAGCTCGTCTGGCTGGTAAAACACTGACAGGTGGTCACAGACGGGTTCCTCACCTTGGCCTGCTCCCGCAGCTGCATAGCGGCGCTGTGCACTTGTTCGTCCCCGGCCAGCTTGGCAGGCCAAGGCGGGAAGCCCTTCAGCTGGCTCCAGACCAGCTCCCCCACGTTGAAAGTCCTGGACCGGTAGTGAAGCAGCTCTGAGGAGGGCGAGTCCGGCTGCCGCAGGTCCTCCTCGCTGCTCAGGCTCTTTGTGTCCGAGGGGCTGGGCGCCATACCGTTGAAGTGTCCGTTGTAGTGGCTGTAGTCTTTGGCGGTGGCCAGCGGGCCCTCCAGGCTGGTGGAGGAGCTCGGAGACTGGTCGTCCCCCGTCAGCTCCTGCCGCGGGGGCCCCAGGACTTCTCCGTAACCCCGGGTGTTAAAGTGAGGCGTGGCGCCGTTGATGTGGGCGCAGCGCTCCACCGTTTGCTCCAGACGCTCCTTGTAGTTCGCTGGCGTCCGGCTGCAGTTGTTGAAGCGGTAGCCGTCGTCCAGAAACGCCTTGTCGTGAGCCATGGCCAGAGCGTGGTCGACGGGGCCGTCGCCGGGCGCCAGGCCGACGGGCCGCTCCATGCAGGGGCTACTCCTCACGTGGGTGGAGCACTCCAGGAACTCCTCGCCTCCCCAGGCGCTGCTGTTGTTGCTGTGAGTGTCGAAGCCGCCTCCGTGCTCCCCGTCCCACTGCCCTCTGGGAGTCCCGCAGCCCGGAGAACGGAAGTAGTCGTTGGCCTCGTGGCCGTCTGGAGTTCTCTTCCCCGGATCCATGTTCTTCTGAGCCCGTCCCGGCCTCACCTGCCGCGCTCTGGACTGCGGCGGTAACGCCTCCCCCTCCGGGTGCCCGTGCAGGACTGTGCTAACTGCTTTCGGGAGGCTGACCGGCTCCCCTATAGAGGCAGTGAAGGCACTCATGGCGCTGAGGGCGGGCACCGGACTCGCCTGCGTGGTCCCGCTCACCGTGGTGGTTATGGTAACATGCATGCCCTTACTGGCGGCGTCCACCACGGCTCTGTAGATGGCGTCCACCGACTCTGGGCCTCTGTCGGGGCCCGCTGGAGGCCCCTCGCTCTGGGGCTGTGGGTGCGACAACATCCCCTGCTGTGGAAACAACAACAACAACAACAACAACAACATGACGAGACGCGTTTTTTTTGGTGAAACGAAACGCTAAATGTTGGAAACGTGACGTGAATGCACACCTGGTAGTTCTGGTAGAGGCAGGCCATGGAGCCGGCGTTGGCGTTGCTGCCGTCGGCGTACGGTGGGTTGTCAGAGAAGTGCTGCGGCCCCTGGTAGGCTGGGTGGGACACGCCCGGCTGCATGCCCTGGTGGACCTGCTGCTGGTACATCGGACCTCCGCCGGGGTTGACGTGTGGCTGCAGGCCGCCCAGACCGCAGCCGAGAGACGAGGGAGCTCCTGTAACACAGTCAGGACACACACAATGAAGCAACTGTAACATGTCGCTTAAAAATACATAATCGGACTATTAGACGTATTATATGAAACCCTCGGGCGAAGTGAAACAAACCTTCGTTAAGAGACTTTCACAATAAAAGAAACAGTTGCACGTTAACAGTCTGTTGCGCTCAGAACGAACGGACGCCGCCCCGAAGCGTGGGACCGGCACGACGTGTGCGACACACATCAAGGCCGCAGATGTATCAGTGAGCGGAGAGAAAGAAGCCCGGCAGCAGCGTTGCAGACAAAGCCGAAGCAAAACACAGAATCCGAGACCCTGAGAGAGAGTGTGTGTGTGTGTGTGTGTGTGTGACTGTGTGTGTGACTGTGTGACTGTGTGTGTGTGACTGTGTGAC